TGTGCCATTGTGTGCGACGGCATTCTTGTCAGCTCCTGCCTCCACCAACTCTCGCACAACTTCCGAATGGCCACTCGCACTTGCCCAGTGCAAAGCTGTTAAGCTATCTTGCCAAACGACATTCTTGTCAGCTCCTGCAGCAAGCAACTCTCGCACCACTGCCAAGTGCCCTCTCCAACTTGCCTCCTGCAAAGCTGTGTTACCATCTTCAGCTGCAAGATCCTTATCAGCTCCTGCCTCCAGTAGGAGTCGCACCACTTCCAACTGGCCGTTTTCAGCTGCAACATGGATTGGTGCTTGGTCGGCTTCTGGATCTAGCACGTTGGGGTTCTGTGGCAATTGAAGAAAGGATTCGACTTTGGCCAGTGGGCCGACCCCACATGCTGATATGAATGCTTGAGTTGTTTCATCTTCAGCATCTTGAAAATCTAAGATCACCAGCTGCAATTCGGACATGTCCCTTAAGGGAGAATGGTCCTGCAGCTCCATGTGCTCATGGAAGAGTCTTTGTCGAAACCTGGAAGCTCCAACGAGAGCTGCCAAATGCTCTTTCAGTGCCCTCACTGGTTTGTCGCTTTGGACCAGTGGGCACAACTCCTCTGAAGGGAGGTCAGCAGCTACCACCCCTGAGAGGAAGCGGATTTGAAGCATGTTGGTTATGAACATGCCAAGGGCAGGTCCGGTGTGACCCTGCCCACCATTTTCTGAGCCCGAGAAGGCACGGAACGGCACACTCGGAGAAGCAACAGGCATGCGGTCCACAGGGACCTACCAGTGGTTTGGGGTACCTGGTAGGGACCCACACAATGTGCTCTGCGCTTCCCATACTCGGCAAATTGCCCGTGGGTGCGCGTCTGACATTTACATAAATGTTAATATGATTATATTTAATGTTAATATGCATGTTCAGTAGTTCACAGCCCAAAATGGTCCTAAAATCTCGCAACAAAATAGCCCGGCTTGGACCCTTGTGCCAAACCCGCCCAGCTCAGTTTAACCATACCATACTTCAATGATTCCAAGTTGAGTCAAAAGGATTCACACGGTACGTATTTTTCAAAAACAATTGAATCCCTCAACTCTGATTGAGAATCACCTAAGTTTATTTTAGACCCATCCAAGAGCTCCCCGCTCCCCCCCACCTTTTCCTCCGGTCAGACCGCGAACTCGCGCCCAGGCGCTTGCCCCAGCCGCTGTGTCGCACGAGGACGGGAGGGATGAGCATCAAGCAGATGGCGCATTCGGCAGCCACGCCTCGCCGAACAACGACCGGTCCGAGGTTTGAGGAGGATGAGGAACTCTGAGCGTCAATCCAAAGAAGGACAAGCACATCCATGGCGCGCATGGAAGAACCGCACTTGGGGAACTGCAAGCAAGAGATTTTCAACCCAAGAAAAGTTGGCTTGAAGTGATGGTCGAGTTGGCGCCCAGGCCACATGGGCTGAGCTAACGATGCAACATGGAAATACTATTGCACCAAATCAAATCCTTAATTTGACATGATTTGACAATGAAATGGACACATGGAACATGGAAACATCGACATTGATTTGACAAGGTTTTTGAAACTCTGTTGTTTGTTTACTTTTGTTTGCCATGAGTCTCCTGATGGTAAGACCCTTTGGGCATTCAGGGAGCCCGGAACAAAGGTGTCCGGAACGTTTGGAGTTTGGAGGTCTGTGCTGGATTTGTCTGACCTGCATCACATTCTGGAAGTGGTAATACTCAAAACTGTGTTTGAGGCTCCACAGGATCACCCTCCAGTGCCACCCGACATTTCGAGACCCGGTCCACGTGGTAGACCCCGACCCGCGCCTAAGTTGCAGCCGACGTGCTCTGCCGGATGCGCGTCGCATTTGCAAAAGCGAACCTTCACACAGCAACTCGCCTGCCGCCGAATTCGGACGAATTCGTCCTTCCCAGTCGAGAACTGATTCGACGATCGACTCCGAGGCGAGGTTTGTCTCGCTGCCGCCTTCTTAATTAAGGTCCAGAAAAAAAGAGTAAAAGTTTAGCATCCGATGACACAGCACGCGTCTCATTTTTGTCTCAGACTGACCGAACGTTCTGTCAACAAATGCATACAAATCCCAATTAAGTGGAGATCAGCATGCATAGTATCCCTTCGTTTTTAGATGTCAATACGAAGAGCCCGTCAGAACTCCCGTCAGATAGGATTTGGATCTGATTCTCCCAAAAAGATTTGGGCACCCCCCAAAAAGGTTTTGGAGGCTAGTTTACATGTTCATCGTTCAAAACGCCTGCTGTAAGACGACAAATGCCTAGGGCCTAGGGCAAACTTTGTACTGCATGTTAGGAATCTGGGTGTCTTATGCCACTGGTCGGCCTTGCCCAACTTGGATGTAGGATGATGTAGGTAAATTGATCAAACCCGCCAAACATGGAATACCATCTGCGAATTGAGGTACTCTTCCCATGTCAAGATCTGGGAGATCCCTTGAGTTCGCTGCCTTTCCTTGCTATGATGGTTAATAAATTAAAAGCCTTCCTCTAAAATAGTGATGTTCTTGTTTACCGACAGTTACAAATAAAAACGGACACCCCCAACCTGTATGTATATATATATATAAATGTGTTTATGTATGTATATTATATATATGATTATCAAAGGAAGTTTAGTGTGCAAAACTTCCGTGTTACGGACATTCAACAGCTGTTCAACCACCACTCATCATACACCACTCATCATACACCACTCATCACACACCACTCATCA